GCCAGTGTGGCACAACCGCTAGCCTGGGGTAATTAACTTGCACCACGCAATAGTGAAACACGACCGCACGCCGGTACGATACCCATCCGGGTCGAAGAGGTCAGGGGTGGGGATTGAAACCAGGATCCCTGGGCTCTGCAGCATAAACTTTCACTCTACGTTCTCCGAACTGGTGTGCACTAGCCAACTCCGCCACCGACCCCCCGAGAAAGATAAGATTTACTGTATTAAGGGAAGCTCAGTTCTTCGACGATGATCTTTGATCAACCATGTTGATCAAAACTGGGAATAAGTGGACGCCCTCGACCTTTTCATTATCATGTCTGATTCGACGTCACGACACGACCAGCCATGCATACTTGCGAAATTTACCGTGAAATTTTGTACGGATGTTCATAATTGATTTAACAAATATTTTAGGAGCTTTTAATAAAATAAATGCCACATCTGTTTATATTTCAGCCCACTCTACGTGACCAGCACCTGAAATTAGGAACTTCCGGATGTCACCGGACAATAGTATTAACTGCAGCTACGCAAAGCCACAGTTAGCACACAATACGTGCGGACATCATTTTGTGGCTATGCGGTCAAGGGTATGTGGGCACGTGCGCTTTAGCATCTGGAACTCCCATAAAGCAGTGCACGCGCGATATTCACTTCTGAAATAGCTGTCCGGGAGGCGTATTAGCAAACCATATCCCGTACAGTGCCTGGCCACGCCCCCTTCGGCGCGACGCAAAAGCGGCCATTTCATTGGTTTTCAAAATGTCACGTGACATGACGTCACTTCCGCGCCGTTTGAACGCATTTGAGTCTCGTCAAGATGGCGTCCGCCGCTACGCTGGTGGATGAGACGCGCGTTACGCTGCGCCGCTGTAAACACTTCGTTTCACGCGCGTGCCTAGATGACTCGAATGCTCTCAACTTAGCGATGTGAACTCGTTCTTGGGTAAGATGAACGCCCAGTACTGCTCGCCGAGAGGATGCCACCGCATACGCGCCGCTGCCGAAGTCGCCCATACGAGTACAACCACTACGATCGCCAAAGTTTGCCGCTGCACCGTAGCACCAAATGCTAGCAACTAATGCTTTCACGTCGGCGATGTGAACTCGTTTTTTGGTAAGATGAACGCCCAAGACCGCATGCCGACATAATGCTACAGCATACGCGCCGCTGTCGAAGTCGCCCTTACGAGTACGACCCATAACGATCCTTCGAGTTCACTGCTGCACCGTAGCACCAAATGCTAGCAGGAGGACGGCTCGACGCGGACGCATTGCCTTTTATACGTGAATATGTTCTCGTTACGCGAATTCGCGCCTAATCGTGACACGGGCGCGCTGTGCGCCTGATGTCTATGCGCGTTCCAGTGCGAATTCGGAAAGCGATGGAGGTGTCGTTCTATCACCATCAAAGTACTCTGGCCCCTCAGAATGACTGACACCTTCAGTAAATGTACCGCAGTAGGTTGGAGTTGCGCATCTCACGACATAATGCTACAGCGTATGCTGTAGCATTATGTCGGCACGCGGTCCTGGGCGTTCATCTTACCGAAAAACGAGTTCACATCGCCGAGGTGAAGGCATTTAGTTGCTAGCATTTGGTGCTACGGTGCAGCGGCGAACTCCAAGAACCGTTATGGGTCGTACTCGTATGGGCGACTTCGGCAGCGGCGCGTATGCGGTGGCATCATCTCGGCGTGCAGTGCTGGGCGTTCATCTTACCGAAAAACGAGTTCACATCGCTAAGTTGAAAGCATTCGAGTCATCTAGGCACGCGCGTGAGACGAAGTGTTTACAGCGGCGCAGCGTAACGCGCGTCTCACCCACCAAGACTTGTACCGTACGCATTACAAGTAATCAAATTACTTGTAATTGATTACTTTTTGGAGTAATTTTGTAATCAGTTGATTACTTTTATTAGGCAGTAATCACGAGAGTATTCTGATTACTTCTTGAAGCAATAAAATTACTTGTAACCGTTACAATTTGTCCACGCCCTCCCCCCCCCCCCCCCCCCCCCGGGCACACGCCTTTTTTTTATGAAATGACAAAAATAAAATTTGCTTTTTTCCGAATGAAAAAAAAAAAAAAAGATTTTGGTTGAGCTGCAGGAAATGAGGTCAATCTCTTTCTGCAGTTTCTGTGGAATGTCCGTTTTTTTTTTTTTGTTGTTGTTTTTTCGATCTGAGACTGGGAGTGGGGAGCCCCAGTGCGTGACAAAGGCCATTCAGGGCGAAGTTTGAGGAAGCAGAATGTAGCTTTGTGAGTCCTTCGTTCAAACTAGCCCCCTAACGCACACACACACACAGAAATAAAAAAAAATAAAAAAAAAATCCTGCTTAGGGTACCTACTCGCAGCCCGTAGGAGAACCAGAACCGAAGAATGCCTAAAGCGGATGCAAAGTATAACAAAGGCAGTTGAAATCTTTCTCCTGTTCCCCTACGTGGTCTTTGTGACAAGCAATGTTTCGAGTTGAGAAGTGGTCGGGGCGATCTCTTCCGCTAATGAATACTACACATGATCCATTTCAAATCCTGGAGCTACTGCTCTTTTGTATAACATGCGAGCTCATCCACATGTGAATAATAAAATGAGCGACGCAAACTTCGAGCGACAACCCTTGCTCAAGCTTAACAGAATCTAGAACCACCTCCGCCCTCGCCCCCCCCCCCCCCCCCCCCCACACACACACACACACTGGCGAACGCCCAAATCATTAAATGTCTTCAAAAGAATTCTATGCTTGTGTCCGCACTGTGAAGGTGCAACGACCACGAAGAGGGAGCCAGTTTTTTTTCTTCACTACTTGTGCAAATGTGAAATATAGGTTGGAAGTAGTTCATTGTTATGAGCGCTAAAGATGTGTCTTCACAGTAATCGGAAAAGTAACGATTACTTCTTTAAGTAATGTCCAATTACTTTTGCCGTCGAGTAATCAAGTAATCTAATCGAATACTTTTTAGCCAAGAGTAATAGTAATTGTAATCGATTACTTTTCTTTAGTAACGTGTACAAGACTGCACCCACCAGCGTAGCGGCGGACGCCATCTTGACGAGACGAAAACGCGCTCAAATGCGTTCAAACGGCGCGGAAGTGACGTCATGTCACGTGACATTTGGAAAACCAATGAAATGGCCGCTTTTGCGTCGCGCCGAAGGGGGCGAGGCCAGGCACTGTACGGGATATGGTTTGCTAATACGCGTCCGGGAGTATAGTGCGGCACCTGCAGTCTCAAGTATCTTGTTATCGCACCGAAGCCAATGATATTGCAAGATGGGCCGATAAAATTGCCGAGCAGGAAATCACAAGGAAAGACGCCTGATCATTTCATGCCACACCCAGCGTTTCTTGAGCTGTCGATAACATGGATGCTCCTGTCCACGATGTTGTCGAAGGAAACGGCAGCGACTGTGGTTTCGACGCCCCCAAACTTATAATGACCAAAAAGCGAGCAGGCTTCATGCGATCGCGATTTGATTGTCAAAAGTCGGATCGAGAAAACCGAAGTACTACTCAAAGCAAACACGCAATTTGTCGCCACTGCGCTGTCCGAGAATCCAAAGACGAGAAGGCAATCACGTCACGCCTTTAGTAACCCTGTGCCACTACTCGGGCGACGAAAATCAACACAATGGGAAGGCATATAGTATGTTTGTCCATGTAGATCAACAGCGACTGGGGAAGCTCGAAGTTTTTGCGGTGTATCAATGACAAGTAATCCGGGCCTTCCTGCAAATTTCTCAAGCAAATTACTTGTCCCGGTGTTTGAAGGATACGGCGGGAGAACAAGCTGGACATGAATTTATAGACACCCAGCTCTTCCTACCCCTTTCAAACATCCCTCTAACAACTCGAGTGAAGTGCACAAATCTATGCCCCCCTCCTCCAGAATTTTCTTACCTCGCATTTTACTTTGAACACCTACCGCCACCTCCGTTGTACCTTAATGGTGTGTCCCTCTTGCCTCAGTGTAAATTGGCCAAGACGGGCGATCCTCTGATAAAGTAAAAAAATGGTTTTCACTCACTTTTACACCAATCCCATAGGCACTGTGGTGTGCTGTCAGGGGAGGAAGATAGGTAAAGTCTAATTCCTTATGCGGAAGAACAGATAATGATTTATTTTTCCCGTTCAGCACAATTTCGATTGCTTTTTCCAACACAGTCTCAGTCAGGTCATTGATGCTTGAACCAATTGTTGCAAGCATAAATAAGAACACAACAGGTGCTACTCTAAGAGGGCGCCTGTTCGCGCATACTTCAGCACCTAACACCAGAGTGCGCAAACTTATAGTGTATTTTACTTTAAAATTAACCACTGGGAACGCTACGAGCCATCGGAGCCAACCCAACGCAACGCCAAGAAAGGGACCAGTGATTTTATGCACGGAGCATCGCTGCGCCCATATAGAGTACACCACGTGGCCCACTTTCAGCTCTCGATTGGCTAGAATGTCTCGTAGCACCAACTGCGGCACATTTTAATGCGATAAGAGTACAATCCCGCCTCTTCTTTCAACTCGCCCCCGTAAACCAAGAAAGGCGGCAGCGTGTAGAAAACAACAACAACAACAGAAAAACCTACAATTGTCGACCAATCTTGTGTGGTATTTATAGTTCCAGATGTGGAGCATGCTGCTACGCCCATAAAATAGGCCAATCGGAGCGACACAACCGCCCTATGTACGAGCGTCTCCACGAGTTTTTCTGAAGATGAACTTTTCACTTTGCAGCTTCAGAAAGACAAGGTGTGGCGAGTATATAGGGGTCCTAATCTACACGGCGGGGACAAGGAAGCGGGAAATCGCCGCCTGCTGCGATTGGCCAGCTCCGCACTGCTGACCAATCGAAGCAGCCGGCAATGTCCCTGTCCCTTTGTTTCGCTTGGTCCAGCCGTGTAGATTAGGGCCCCAGAGCGCATCATTTCCACAGCCAAAGGAATTGCAGCATTCGCCGTTAAGGGCACCTGAGAACGAATCATGGAACAACTAGCTTGAACATAACAAGTCACAGTCTGCAACTTTTCTCAAGCTGCCAGTGACGCCTTTATGAGTACCGAGCCCCGGTACAACCAGGATCTTGGTGCCGTTCGTGTGTAGTCGCGTGTTCAGGCAGCGGCGCGCCGCCTGGTGGAGCGGTGGCGGAGTTCCCTCAGTGTGACTGGTCGGGAGGCTGCACATCCACGCTGTACGCCAGTCTTTTGCTGGTCAGCCAGCTGAAGGAGTTGTCGAACTCCAGCACGTCTGCAAACGAGAACAACGACCATCGAGACTTTATTAGAGTGCAGATCTTAGGCGCCCGTTTCCGGCTTGAGCGGCGTCGGCGTCGGCGTCGGCGTTGGCGGCTGCGTCGGCGTGACCACGTGGTGCATTATGGGAAAATTTCCTATCTGCAACTCGAGGGACCGTCGTAACGTCACTCGTCAGCCTCGTGACGTCACGAATGTCACCGGTGATCTGGAGGGCGACGTTTCGGCATCCTGCCGAAACCTCACCGCGTCGAAACATCACCGCGGTGCGTTATGGGGCGTTTCTCATTATGCACAGCGCGGACGTTACGGTACCACGCGGTGCATTATGGGAAACGACCAATAATGCACCGCGGTGACGCGCGCGTTGCATTGTGGGATGTTTACGATTCTGCACCGCGCGGGAGGGAGGAGGTGGAGGAGGGAGGAGGGGTGAAGGAGGAGGAGGGCGGAGGAGAAAGAGGAAGAGGGAGGGAGGAGGAAAGAGGAGGAGGAAGGGAGAAAGGGGAGGGGAGGAGGAGGGAGGTGGAGGCGAGGAGCACGGAAGGAGTAGATGAGGAGTGAGTAAGAGGGTACGGATGAGGAGGAGGGGCATACCATGCCCTCCGTACCCTCCCCTCCTCCTCCTCAAGAGCTACGCTCTAATTCGGCATTACAGGGAGTTGTAAACGTCTTTTTTAGAGCGCAGCTCTTAGGGGCCCGTTTCCAGCCTGAGCGGCGTCGGCGTCGGCGTCGGCGTAACCGGGGGGGGGGGGGTCACGTGACCCCCCCCCCCCCCGAGGTCACGTGAACCCCTCCTCCCCCGAGGTCACGTGACCCCCCTCCCCCGAGATCACGTGACCCCGGAGGGGTGACGTGACTACCCGCAGGTGACGTGACCCCCCTCAGTACCCTTCCCTACCCCTCCTCAAGAGCTGCGCTCCAATTCGGCGTTACAGGGATTTGCAAACGGCGTTCATTTTTTTTGCCACTCTCAGAACACTTTTGTTCTTCAGCCTATCGGCTCTCAGATATCGTTAAAAAATGAGCAGATCGCTTCCAGCGTTCCCTTCCTTTATTGAGGAGCCTTGTTCTCCTTGACCGACGCCGAGTGAGATGAGGCGCTTACTGACGCACCGCACACGATGCAATTTGCAAAAACACGCGTCGGACAACTTTTCTTGGTGTTCCTCGCCCATTTGAGAGGCAGCCATGGAACGTATCCGTGCAGTGCAGTGGGTAGTATGATTTGGTAAAAAATTCGACTGTAAAACTTGCTGTTGAAGGCTACATTCTAAGTATGAGTAAAATCCGACAAATCTGAATGCTAATTATACATAGCAGTACAAGTGTCACAACAACATGTAATGCTAGAACCTTGGGGTGTATAGCCCTGTATCTCGTTATGATTGAGTGCGACTAAAACCGGCCATTTCTCGACCGGCTGTTTTCGGCCAGAAAGAAAACGAACTTCGAGCCGCGAATTATCTTCTAGGTAGTTGGGCTCTTTTATATGGTCATGTTGAAACAAAGATCCCACCGAGTATAAGTACCCTCTCAATGTAACTTTAAGATATTGGTAGCTCTAAGAATGCTCCTGTCCACAATGTTGTCGATGGAATCGGCAGCGAGAGTGGCCTTGACGTGCTCGGATTTATAATAACCAAGAAGAAGCAGGCTTCCTACAATCGCGATTTAATCGTCAAAAGTACAACTCGAAGTCAACACGTAATTTGTCGCCCAAGCGCTGTTCGAGAATGCCAGGCCGAAGTGGCTATCATGTCCCACCGTTAGCATCCTGCGCCACCCCTATGGCGACAAAAACTAGCACAACGGGAAAGCATGTATGTTATGCTGTTAAAGCAATTATAGCAAATCTGCCACGAGCAGGACATGAATAAAAATAATAATCCCTGGAGAGGGAGAACAAAGGACGTAAACAAACCTTCAAACACAGTTTGATGACTAGTGAGCGACTGAAAAAATCCGCCGGGTTCTGGTATCGAACCAGGGACCTCTCCAGTTCCAGTGGATCTCTCTACCAGCTGAGCTAACCAGGAGTTAGACGTCTGTAGAGCAAAAGGGTTTTAAGAGTTGCTTCCAGTCTAGCACCATTAAGGGTCAACGGCCTAATTTTAATATTATAATGTTAATCCAAATAATACAAAAGTGCCGCGAGCTGGACAAGAATAACAATATTAATCCCTGGAGAGAGGGAACAAGGGGGAGAAACGACAAACGCAAACTCCCAAACACAGATGGGAGAGGTACCTGGTTCGATACCAGGACCAGGCGGATTTTTTCAGTCGCGCACCAGTCCCCTAGCTGTGTTTGAAGATCTGTGTTTGTTCTTTGTCCTCCTTTTTACCCCTCTCAAGGAATTATTCCCATATGTTTGTTGGTGCAGATCGACGAGCAATTGGTGAAGCTCGAAGTTTCTGTGGTATAGCATTAACAAGTCATCCTAGCCTTCCCGCAAAGTGATAAGCCAATGACTGTCCCCGGTGTTTGAAGGATACGGCGGGAAAACAAAGGGGTTATGAATTTATAGATACCCAAATCGTCCTCGCCCCTCAAACATACCCCTAACAACCCGAGATTAGTGCACAAATATATGCCTCTGCCCTCCCCCCCCCCCCCCTCCCCTCCGTCCCGCCCGATTATTTTATCTCACATTTACTCCAATCCCCTTAATCATGTACCCTCTTGCCTAAGGGTAACTCGGCCAAGACGGGGGATCCTCTGATAAAATAACTAAATGTTTTTCAGTCACTCTCGCTGCGTTTGCTAATGTTGCTTATGTAATTCTAACACATTAAAATAAAAAAAAAGGATAGAAACATGAAGCGTGATTCCCGTCAGCGGGCTTTAACTCACACGTGCCCGGTTTCTCGCAAAGGAAGCTGCCTTGCTGCTTCCCTGAGAGGCGTTGAGGTTTTGTTAGTGGCTTGTCGGATTCCTCTGGCTTTTCGTCGTCCTCAGGAGGCAGGTAGCGCAAGCAAAAGGCCAGATCCCCTCGTTGCACGTGGAAGCTCCAGCGCAGCAGACTCTCTGACTGTTGAACGGGCACGCACAGCTTCCAAGAGTCCCGACTCAAGATGACCTGGCTGCAAAGGTCCGCGCTGATCTTTAAGTCCGCCGGCACCTCGCCACCTGGGCACACCTGCCGGGCAAATCTCTGAGATTAGACGAAAGGGGGCACTAGAGTATCTCCACGAAAATTGTGTATCGAAGTTGCCCTTCCTCGGTTTCTCCACAAAAATTGTGTGTAAAAGTTGCACTTCTCTACCCCTCTCCCCCAACCCCCACCAAAAAAAGAAAATAAATAGATAAGAAAGTAATATAGCTAGACGTTGAGGGAGATTGTTTAAAAATCGATTAGGAAAACTAACTTTAGATGAGGAAGAAACATCATGAAGATTCAGATACTAGTGTCGAAGAAACGCCGCACTCACTGGTTCATAAATAATTAATACGTTCATCGAGCGCTTATATATATATATATATATATATATATATATATATATATATATATATATATATATATATATATATATGGGTGGTTTCATCTCAAATCGTGCAGGCAAAAAGGGTCGAATTTTTGATTTCGATAAAAAAAATAGATGTTATGGCGCCATTTCTAAAACCGCAGTCGACACAAACCGCAAGTTCGTCGGATTTTTTGTTCTCGACTTATGAATTTTTAAAGATGCCCCGGCGAAAAGCAGTGTTTTTCACACCCGTCGTGGGTCGGATGTTTCGCTTGATCTCCCGCCATGGATTTTCAGTCCACATTATATTATCTTTTTTGAAGCACTCTGTGGACACATTTAAAAGGCTCCAATACCATTAAATAATTTTAGGCCTTTTGCTTTTTTTCTGTAAAAATGTCAAAAACGCCTCCTCGGTCAATTGTTGACGAACTTTGACAATTAATTACTGGCGATCTACTTGGGTTACACTGATATTTTTTATGTCCACGGAGAGCCCAAAACACGCTCTTTAGATATACTATAAAATGCCTTGGTTGTATAAAATATCCTTTGCGGTACGTTTACGTTAATATTATGCAAAAAACAAAAAGTACCATTTTTGAAATTGATTTTCTCAAAAAACCCATCTTTTATTTTTTTTATTTTTTGTTCAAATGTAGATATGATAGATGTCTACACGAAAATCAAGCCTAGAAAGTGTATATTTTGTTTGTATGTTCTACATTTAAGCATCAATATCGTACAAAAACGTGTTTTTACGGCTCGAAATGGACTTGCGAATTGCGCGTCTTCACAAGCTTGGAAAGAGTTTTTTTCTTTTTTTCAACATTCCCACACAAAAATGAAATACAGTACTTCCACCCTGAGCTATTTATTGATTATTTAAATTCTATTATAGGCGGCAAGCTACATCGGAGGAGTTCCAAAAAGAGAAAGCAACACTTCTTAACAGACCAGCAGGTGTCACAAATTGTTAACGTGTAGGAGTCGGCAGACGTCTTATTGATTCGGGGCCCTCATTGGCCTGCATGAACGTCCCGTCCTTTCGGTGGCAGCAGATGACCACGACCTTTCGCGCTCGTTGTGTTAGATGGGACGGCCCGTGACAGTAAAGCGAGCAGCGCACCCTGTGTCACGAGGAGTGAAATGGAACGATTGTGTCGTTGACATGGCGAACAGTGACGGCCACCCAGGAGGAGTCTGTCAGAGTATTGCACAAGGGAAAGCAAAGGAATCGTTGCCTGAAAGGACGAGGACACCACGGCCTTACAATGTCGACGGTCAACAACTGTTCTGCCAGTCAAAACAACGCCGCGTGCGCGCTAAAACCGGCGGCGCGGGACAGAAATCCCGCAGACGCACACACGAAGATGGGCCAGTTTCGTTAGGGATGCGGGGAAATTTGAAACCAGCCATCCGTGCATGCGTGAAACGATACCGCCTGTTTGCCCTAGCTTTGAGCGCCCTATCCTTACCTTGAAACGGCCGTGCTCTCTCTCTCTCTCTCTCTCTCCGGGGAGATCCGATAGCACCGAAGGGTTATCTATTAAACTTGAGGAAGAAAACGAGAAGGGAGTGTTTAAGTTTAATTATCCCCACCAACCCGCTCGTTCTGTCCTTATAAAGGGTTATCTCTTTTGGAAACAGCAAAGCCCGGAGACTGACATTAAAACGAGCGTGTTGGTAAATATACTTGTGTTTGTATTCTGCCCGGAGACTAGTTGGGTCGAAGTCAGCCTCCTTGTCAACTATAACCGTTTGTGAAGAGTGGGCTTCTCCCGAGATGAAACGTTAGCGCCGGCTGACGTGTTCTTTTGAAAAAGGGAAGGGGAAAGAGAAAGTTTGAGTAACTGCAGAAACTACCTCGATAGCTCCTCTCCCGATATAAAGCTTGAAGCATAGTCTCGGTTACCTTCTCGCGCATCGCCTGCTGGAATCTATTCTTCACTTTCTTTCATACAGCCACTGTTCCGCACAGCCGTCGTGGATGTGCGTAATAGAGGGAGGAACAGATTCGAGCATCATCTGGACGCCGTCATCCTGCCAGACTTCAATGTCGTGGGGCCGACTCGTGTGTGTTTCTACGCCCCGCTGAACTTTGTTTCTCGGGTGCGATTTTTTCTGAACGTTTTTTTTTTTTTTTTAATGTTTTCTTACTAACTGTTTGTTAGCACTGTTCAGTTGTTGGGTTTATTTCGCCATGGCGTAGCGGCCTGGCGGTGATGTAGAGAGCGTGTTCGCACGCATTTGGTTGCGTCCCGTTTAGGCAATGCCCGGGGGAGTTGGTTTTTGTTCTTGCCATGTGCAAGTTTTCCCGTCTTTATTAATTTATATATTTTTTTTTTTGTTTTACCTTTACGTGCCGTCGACTTCTTTGTCTGACTCTCCACCAGGCGTGGACCTATCGTCTTGCCACCGCTCGAACCTAAATACTTTATTTTTTTATTTTTTTTTAACGCAATTTTCGTTAAGGTCGGAGTTGGGCAATTTAATTCCTATTTATTTAATTTTATTTCCTACCCCTCTCCATGACACACTCTCCGTGTGTTTCGGACCGTTTCTGTGTCACCACTTTTGTGTATTACGGAAGTGAAAGGACATTCCCTGGTTACCTGTGCGATGTGCGGTGAACAAGCCCCAGTGTTTGGTTTCGTAAAGAATTGTATATAATATATCGACGATGTGGTGACTTTCTTTGTCTTAGTAATATGACAGCTAATAGCTAGTCGTGCTAGTTTACTTTGAAAGGTTTATAAATCGAAACAATACAACGTCTGTGCCTTTCGGTTATTGAAAGTCTACTAGGCCTGCTGATTTGGTTAGATATGTATCTCATGGTTCCCGCTCTTATCAAAACATACATAAATATTCAATACCACAAAATCCGTTTATAATTGATTACAAAATGCAGAAGAAAATTCAAGAAAACTTTTTCACAATTCATAGAGTCGAATGGGTCGCTATGTCTGACTTAGGTCTTGCAAAACAAAGACGTCTTTTTCCGATATTGAGGGCCAAAATATAAAACATACAAACAGAATATACACTTTCTAGGCTTGATTTTCGTGTAGAAAACTATCATATCTACATTTGAACAAAAAATGAAAAAAATAAAAAATGGGTTTTTTGAGAAAATCAATTTCAAAAATGGTACTTTTTGGTTTTTGCATAATATTAACGTAAACGTACCGCAAAGGATATTTTATACAGCCAAGGCATTCTATAGTATATCTAAAGAGCGTGTTTTGGGCTCTCCGTGGACATAAAAAATATCAGTGTAACCCAAGTAGCTCGCCAGTAATTAATTGTCAAAGTTCGTCAACAATTGACCGAGGAGGCGTTTTCGACATTTTTACAGAAAAAAAGGCAAAAGGCCTAAAATTATTTAATGGTATTGGAGCCTTTTAAATGTGTCCACAGAGTGCTTCAAAAAAGATAATATAATGTGGACTGAAAATCCATGGCGGGAGATCAAGTGAAACATCCGACCCACGACGGGTGTGAAAAACACTGCTTTTCGCCGCGGCCTCTTTAAAAATTCATAAGTCGAGAACAAAAAATCCGATGAACTTGCGGTTTGTGTCGACTGCGGTTTTAGGAACGGCGCCATAACATATATTTTTTTCATCGAAATTAAAAATTAGACCCTTTTTGCCTGCACGATTTGAGATGAAACCACCCATATATATATACGGAAGAAAAACGCACCTGAGACGGTTGTTGGAGTTTTTAAAACATATTATTGGTAAAGTTGGTCGACGTTTCGGCCCGAGACAGACCTTTTTCAAGACTGGCACATGAGAGGTCAGATTGACGCTCCTTGACCACGTCACGTGGCATTCCAAACATCTGGTTTCTCTCAAGAGTTGACGGTACCCCCGACGTAGGCGTCCCCCCCCCCCCCCGCGTAAACCTGACCCTGGTGAAAGAACTCGCACCATGTCGGAGTTCTTTCACCAGGGTCAGGTTTACGCGGGGGGGGGGGGGGGGGGGGGGGGGGGGGGACACCTGCGTCGGGGGTACCGTCAACTCTTGAGAGAAACCAGATGTTTGGAATGCCACGTGACGTGGTCAAGGAGCGTCAATCTGACCTCTCATGTGCCAGTCTTGAAAAAGGTCCGTCTCGGGCCGAAACGTCGACCAACTTTACCAATAATATGTTTTAAAAACTCCAACAACCGTCTCAGGTGCGTCTTGTTCCGTATATACTTTTCGTCATCCTGCGCTTCGTTTTTTTCTCTCTCTCTATATATATATGGGGGAAATAAGGTAAATATAAAAACGATGGACCGGGAAAAGTAACCAAGTCAAAGATGCGTACTGTCGGAGTTACTAATTCGAAGTTTATTACGACGTTTCGACCGCTCGAAACGTCATATATGTATATATATATATATATAAGCGCTCGATGAACGTATTAATTATATATATATATATATATATATATATATATATATATATATATATGAACGAATACGTGCAGATGAATGAACCGTACTTAATCCAATGAATCAAAGAATCAAAGTTTCCAGGAACCCGCCGAAAGCCAAAAATTGGCGGAGCCAGGATTTGAACTCTGGGCCTCCCAATGTCCGGTCGGGTGTGCTAACCACTACACCTTGGCTTTCTGGCGTTTCCTACCTGTCTTATTAATGCACAAGAAACGAAATGTATATATATATATATATATATATAGATATATATAGATATATATAGAAATGTGTTTACGGTTTTATTGATTTCTCCGCACTAACATCTTTTATTTTTTTATTTTTTTGCTTGCCGTGTCAAACAGGGCGCTTCGATCTCATCGCATCGCGTTTTTGGCTGCTCTGAGTCAAGAAGCCTACGGCCCTTAGAACGTATTCAGCCCGCTTTTAACAAGTTATACAAGGTGAACACGCCAGAGGTGGGTATTCTTTTGCATGGAAGTTCTGGCATGCGAGCACTGCTCGAGGTATATTGATAGTATGTTTCCTTCATTTCCGTTTATCAAACCATGCAGGTATGGGGACAATGGTTTTTGCGCTGTACGTTTTGCTATGTGCGTTTCGTTCGCTGGCCGTGAGCACGTCGTGTTCGTCCTTGTTTACATTTATACATTTGCAATTAAACCGCTGGTCGCAAGCACCGCTGCATTCAAGGTAATGCTGCCGACCGAAAATTTCTCCGGAGCAGTGAGCACATATGTCTTTATAGGTGCCATCTTGATCCGTGTTTCTATAACGGAAATAACATTACTAATACTACTAATATTTATTTAGGCTTATGAGAGCCTCGACACCGCGTCTAAGAATACTGCAATAACAATGTAAAAAAAGAAAAGAAAAAGAAACTGTCTACAATGGTAAAGACTGAGCTTGTGAGTGAGGGAATGGCATTGAGGGTGATGGCGCCGCAGTCTTGACTTGTGGGCAGCTGGCTGCTTCGGTTTTATCTATCCAGCTTCGTCTCACTAGGCACAACCTTTGATGGCAAAAACAACCAAACAGAGGTGCCCAAAATGTATATTTGACTAGAATAGCATCTGGGATTTAACAAATGCTTGGTTGAAGCCGTTATTTACGCTATGGCGACGTATCCATCTAGACATACCTTGTCCGTGCAGCGGGGATCACCGTCCGGACCCAGCATGTCACCACCCCAGTGCTTCGGTAGCTTCTCAGGGAGAAAGTGGGCCCGCAACACCTCTCGCCAGCCGTCTGCAAAATGTCGGCAGTGTTTTCTGCAATGTCAATTCGTGACAAGTAGAGCGTTTTTGACGATAATAATCCCATACAATCAGTTCCCTACAACTAACAAACGTAAAAAAAAAAAACAAAAAAAACGCCTTGATTATTTTTATGAGCTTGTCAAGCACGGAATTTGTGACGCGTGCATTACGCGAGCGTTATTATTTGCTACGCTTGGTTACGGGGAGCTTTGGCTGGTTTCGGATGCGCTGCGTACAAAACACACACCTGGGTTCTCCAAGTTTATGAGAATGACCAAAAGAAATTTAAATTTATCGATGAGTGAGGTGAGTGAGGAGTATTTATTAATGAGAATGGTTTCCAGAAGTTCTTCATATACTTTACTAGGGAATACATTTTATTCCGCGAAAATCCAATGGCCTTGGTGCCAACAACGTTTCCGTAGTTGGAACGGCTGGACGCGCACAGTCCCGGGGTTTCCCCCCTTTTGATTGGACAAGGTGTTTGCTGCTATCTTCAAAATTCATTTATCGCGGCCCAAAATTCATTTAATGCCTAAGAAGTTTACTGTGTAAAAGCAGGTTCAGTTGTATTTGAGACGCCTCTGCGTTTCCGGTTGCCCACAATAAGCCTATAAGGAAGCTCTATTTCGAATACTTTTTACCATGTTCCGATCACGCTTTGCATTTTGTCTTTGTTACAAGGCAATAAAAATGCCTTTACAAGCGCTCATTGATACTGTATACGATTCACATGATGCATGAGATACATTCACCTGTTGATTAATTATTAAAAGTTGGTAGTCGCGAAACAACACGAATAGTCTCTCGGCACATCAAGCATAGAAAGAACGCGGGCCAGATAGACGAAAACTTGCCAGGGATATTAAACTACGTTGGCTCTCGGTGTTTTTTTATCTTCTTTTTCTTACGAAAAAGTTCCAGATTTATGCGCGCAATAAAAGAAAGCGTAGAGAGGGATAAGCGCTCACCCTTGCCGAAAATATGCACCTTGTCCACCGTCCTCTGCGTCAAGAAGGGACGAACGATCTTCCACAGCAGCGGAAAGAAGCCCGGCGCTGCGAGTAACAAGTCAGCTTTCTCATGCACAGAACCATTTTAAGATCCCACTGGGCCTTGGTCACCTACGTACATTACCAGAAATAATACAGGCACCCCTCAGGCCGAAGATGGTAATATGAAGGCGCTTTTTAAATCGCTGTTTTTGACGGATTAATTAACGACCACGGCCTCCAATATTCCCGCAGCGGAAAATCTTGAAAGACAAGCCCAGTCAAATGTCCCCGAGCAGCAATAATACTACTACTATTGATAAAAAGACCATCCCATTGAAATTTTAATCCCCATGAATAGTTACTTTTCAACTGTGAGATGTTTTTTGGTCATCGTTTAGAAGTGTGTGTCATTTTTTTTATTAAATACTCTACGATCAATACACAGGACTGTAAATGAGCGTCCGTGCAGGTCCAACTAATTTATACTCAAGCCGTTGCGCAAATATATTGCAGAAAAAATGAAGCAAAAGCCCGCTTTTCGTTCTGGCTGAACTCGAGCCCAATGCAAAGCTTTCCAACGTGGTTGTATGTAAGCTTGGAGGGGGCGATCGGTGGCCGAGTATGTTGCCGCACTGCAGCTCGAAGCACGTTCCAAAACCCAGGGATCTTGGTCTCAATCCCCAGCCCTGCTCGTTTCGATCTGGATGAGCGTTGTACCGGTGCGCGGTCGTGTATCACTACTACGTGATGCACGATAAAGACTCTCAGGCTAGGAGAGGGGTGGTGTGCTGGCTAAATTTCTCATCCATAGCGGAGGCACCAGGGGACGATCGGGGATGACCGACTTCCCGCTCTTTCAACAAACATACAGCACAATCACCACTTGGAGCGATATTTTACCATAGGCGGCTTAGGAAGGGATTCACCATTGATGACGAAGCACTTCTCCAGTGTTTCGGGGTAATTGTCCTCGTAGAGCCGCAAGAGGTCCGTCAGCAACGTCATGACTGCGGTAAAAAAAAAAGGCGCCCATGATCCTCTTTGGAACAATGAAGAGCCCCAACACTTCCGGAGGCTCGGGACAATACAACCTAGGAGAGAAGGCCTACGCATGAAGTCATCTTTAGGTGACACTTGACCCGCCTAAGCGGCCAATGGGTTGAGGCTCAACGACAGTACTCCGCAATGTGGCAGATGCGTGCACATTGCGTCGCCCTGTGCTTGCATCGCGCTTGTCGGGAGACGCTGCAAGACACGCTGGCAGTGATACTGGCGAAAAATAGGTAGCGCTGCCCGCGCATGTAGTGTTCTACTCTGCCCATACAGCAATGATGTCAAAGAAGCCGAAGTGTCATGTTATCGGATGTCGCGACCCTGGTTATTGGTGTCAAAAATCCCGGCAAAAAAGTATGAGCGAACGCGAGTGTCGCTTTTGGCGCAGAGTTTCAACTTTTGGCTGCGGAAACACTTCCGGATTGTCAAGTTGGAGAGTGACCTGCAGCAGAACAGGCGTAGGCCACGCACACTACCGCTCTTGTGACGCCGCCAGGCTCGCGTCCAGCAATAACATGATACCTTTCGTTGCGTCATCTCCAGGCGTAAATGGAGGGACTACTTTTTAATACGCAGAAAACGCAGCAGTCGGAGACGCGTTCCAGGCACCATTTACTAATAATCCACCCACCTTCCCACGAGTACAGTTGTCGTAGGCTGAAGTTCTCGAAGTCAAAGACGACATACAAGGTCTCCACCGGTCGCTCCCTCTGCAACCGGAATAGAAGGTCATTGGTTCATAGTCGATCATTTCGAACCAGCATCATAAACGGCGAGCAATTTCGTCGGCTACTAGTGCAGAGGGCACACGGCGCCGAACTTTAAATGGAGGATACAGTGGGTACACGCAGTTTTTCTACAAAAATTCTAGCCAATCGACTTTATATTGCGGTGGTACTTCCGACCTTGTGTGGTGACCCCAGCGAGGTGGAATTGTGATTCCGCTTGCAGGAACCAAACTCGTGGATTGCGGTCCCAGTATGGTGGAAGGCGGACTGCGGCTGCTGTAACAGTGGCTCGCGGCGGGTCCGAAGGCTCTCCTTGCTGCATTTCACCCGTTCTAGTTGGCGATCACGTCCGGGTCACCAAATGTGGTGAAAGAAACAGGCAGGAGACGGACGTTCCAAAACAACGTTCTATTTCAGTGGTGTCTCGGCAGGAACTGCTCTTCGTGAGCGCGTGAGCGCGTGAGCGTATAGCTAGCGCGCGCGTCTTTTCTCTGCCGAGACTGGACTCGCTTGTCGGTGCGTCCAGTCCCTACAGATAAAAACAGCGATTACGACACCATTTGGACTTTTTGATTATCTCCGCATGCCCTTCGGCCTCAGAAATGCGGCTCAGTCATTCCAACGGTTCATCGACGCTGTCACACGAGGGTTACCTTTTGTCTTCGCGTACGTAGACGATTTGCTCATAGCCAGCAAGTCACCGGAAGAGCACACGACCCACTTAGACCTCCTCTTCGAACGACTGCGCAGCCACGGCATTGTCATCAACGCCACGAAAAGTGTGTTCGGAGTTCCGGAATTGGAATTTCTTGGTCATCGGCTTGACTCCTCGGGCATCCGTTCATTGCCATCAGAGGTACAAGCCATCAAAGATTTCCCGAGGCCGACTTCGACCACCAAACTTCGCCAGTTTCTCGGTTTGGTCAATTTTTACCGACGTTTCGTTCCGAACTGCGCCAAACTGCTCGAACATCTTGAGGTCCTCCTAACAAAACAAGAGCGAAAAAAGTCATCCCTTCCTTGGAACGAAGATGCGGAACGCGCTTTCGGCGAGGTAAAGAACTCACTGGCAGAAGCAACAATGCTAGTACATCCTAAGCATGATGCCCCAACATCGCTGATGACTGACACATCTGCCACAGCCGTAGGAGCGGTGCTACAACAAAAAGTCGACGGACAGTGGCGGCCGATTGGTTTCTTTTCTCAGAAGCTCAAGCCAGCGCAAACGCGCTACAACGTTTTCGGACGTGAGCTATTGGCTGCCTACTTGGCTGTACGACACTTTCGACATTTCGTCGAGGGACGGCCATTTACCATATGGACCGACCACAGGCCCTTAACTTACGCCATCAGCAATTCCGGGTCTCATTACACACCACGTGAGATTCGCCAGCTAGCCTTCTTGGCGGAATTCACAACGGACATTCGGCACGTTAAAGGAGTTGACAACGTCCCCGCTGATGTCCTCAGCCGGATAGACGCCGTGAACACTCCAGCCTTTTCTGCTGTAGACTTGGAGTTGCTGGCTCATCTACAGACCACCGACGAAGAATTGCAAGCCCTGCGCAGTTCATCCACGTCACTGCAACTGCGGGATGTAAGCTTTCCAGAAGGCACCACCGTGATCTGCGACCTGTCAACGGGAACGCCTAGGCCTTTTGTACCACGTGAACTGCGACGACAGCTTTTCGAAGCGATTCACTGCTTGTCGCACCCGGGTATACGAGCATCCCAGAAGCTCCTGTGCGACCGCTACGTTTGGCCCCGGATAAAATCCGACGTTCGTGATTGGGTGCGTTCCTGCATCGCATGCCAGTGCGCGAAAGTACAGCGGCATCCGGTACCACCAAGTCGACAATTCCTACAGCCTGACAGCCGTTTCAACAAGATCCATCTGGACCTAGTAGGACCCCTACCGATTTCTCAGGGACAGCGCTACATTTTAACGTGTGTCGACAGATTCACACGATGGCCAGAAGCAACCCCACTGCCCGATATCACCACCGCCACCGTCGCTGAGGCGTTTATCGTTACGTGGGTATCCCGGTTTGGATGCCCCTCAGAGATTGTCACCGACAGGGGTCGACAATTTGAATCGGCACTCTTTGCCGAGCTCACTCGATTGCTCGGAACCAACCGTTTGAGAACGACTGCCTACCACCCACAGTCCAACGGGATGGTAGAACGATTTCATCGACATTTGAAATCGGCCCTTGCAGCTCACGATGACGAACCCAATCCCTCGGATTGGGTTCGTCATCTCCCCCTTGCGCTTCTTGGAATCCGGACAGCCTTGAAGGCGAACATCGGATGCTCCACTGCCGAACTTGTGTACGGCACTGCACTTCGCTTGCCATCAGATTTTTTTTAAATGGAACTGCCTCAACAACAAAGGCAGTTGGACTATGTAGAAAAACTCAAGCAAATTTTTATCAATTTGCGACCGGTGCCTACACGGCAAGGAACTTCAAAGTCTCCCTCTCCCAGGACCTCCAAGATGCCACTCATGTTTTCGTACGACAGTCGCAAAAGAAGCCACTGCGCCCACATTACATCGGACCATTTCCAGTCGTCGAAAAGAGAAGCGACACGTTTGTCCTGCGTGTCAACGGCGAGAACGACACCGTTGCATTGGAGACACTAAAGCCGGCACATATTGAGCAAGCGCATGTGCAGGAAATAGCGCTACGTAACATCAACCAGACGACAGAGAGAAGCCAACTTCGTTGGCACCCCGATGTCTGTGTGTTTTGATCGTTCGTCCTACCTCCTCTCTAAGGGGGGCATATCTGTAGGGACTGGACGCACCGACAAGCGAGTCCAGTCTCGGCAGAGAAAAAGACGCGCGCGCTAGCTATACGCTCACGCGCTCACGCGCTCACGAAGAGCAGTTCCTGCCGAGACACCACTGAAATAGAACGTTGTTTTGGAACGTCCGTCTCCTGCCTGTTTCTTTCACCACAATATGTTGGTTTCCAGAAGTTATCTTAAGCCACATTTACATGAACGCGACTTAGTCGCATCGGATCCACGCAGTTGTGACATTCAATGCGGTCATGTAAACTGTAAAACGCACTAGGAGAGCGCATCAGATTCAATTGAATGTGATGCGCTAGACGGAGGTGAGTCGAACCGGCGAATGCGCATTCATTCAGCCCATGTAAACGGAGGTCGCATTGCATTTTGGAACGGGAGGGATTATGGGATGGCGTTCGCTGCGGGAGCGAGTGAACAATTCAGAACATGGCAGCGGCCACCTCGTCGGCGGCGGCGGAGTGCGGTCCCTTGTGGCCGACCGCATTTTTCTCCTGAGTAGAATCGCGGGCTTTTATTGCCATCATAAGTGAGCGAAATATAACTAACCGCCGAATTCAGAAACCTCACTTAAACTACACTTAAACTGAAGGGCCCCTTCACTTCCTCGAGGAAGGCGCGAGGGCCGGTGCTGGCCAATCGTGACGGCGGATCCGTCCTCGCGATTGGCCAGCGCCGGCCCTCGCGCCTTCCTCGAGGAAGTGGAGGGGCCCTTCAGTTTGAGTGTAGTTTGAGTGAGGTTTCTGAATTCGGCGGTAAGCTGGTGGGTCCCCGACCAATACTTGCGATTTTATCCTTGCGCGTTTGAGGAAGTTCCTAGAGGCTTCGGCGAAAGCACCAACGACACAGAGAAGTTCGAACACTGCGTGGTACCGCAGAACGAGCAGCTCATACCTCAGTGCTGTTCCTGCCTGCGCAGGAGCCTTTCGACCTCGGGGTACGGTCGTGGTTGGCGACGTTTGGCGGGGCGAAGCGCGGTGGCGTCATCAGAGCGGCTGGAAACAATTTCGCTCGCTAGGGCGTGCGCACGCACCTTGCCTCCGTTCCAGCGTGGCCCGGTGGCCCGGCCCGGAGCCCAAAGCGCTTGGGTTGTGAAGTTTCTTGCGCCTCGTAACTTCTTGCACAGCATCGAAGACAACGGTGTTCTGACGGAGGTGCTCCCAGGATGGACAAGGCTGCTGCTGTCAACAGGAACCGGACAGGGCCCCGGACATGAAGTGTTGGGAGGCATTGTCACTCTCGTACAACTATTCATTTACATGGATACAGGTGGCGTCGGGAACGAGAACACAATCGAGAGCTCTGGTACACAGCGGTGTTTTCTTTTTATAAAATTCTTGTTCCCTCGCCTTGGTGCTATTGGCCCCTGGCTCTTTCTCCGTTTGCACCGGGGAAGTAACGTATCAGGCACGGATCAAAAGATCCTTGGTTCATGCGGCTGGCGGCTCTGGTGAGTTTGCCCGTTGCGCAGATGCTGCCGAAATTCGACACGCCGATTCCTTACGTACAATCCTCCGGGTGTGCTCACCCCATGGGAGCCGCGATTCTTGGAAAGGCAACCTTGGCCGAATTATCCTCCGTTCATGTGGTAGAAATCAACACCACGACGTCGGTCTTGCGCTTTGGCTGACTTGAGATTTCCAAGGATCACGCCAAACACTTCTGGGCACGTGGAATCATCTGCTTTTTGCGAAAACACATCACAACAGTCCCGATCAAACCTCTGTCACGCCTAGCGTGTGTCGAATGAACCGCCAAACGTAACAGCGGGCACGATCTTTACGCTGGTCGAAAGCGTCGAAATGCCCGGAAAACGTGCGTGGTGCGGCTGGTTCCGGAAACGAAGCTTTAACTTTGAGATTCGACACGGCGTGGCGCCACCTTTGCGTAGAACTTGATGAGCATCGATGTAAACATTGACGAGCCGGTTTCATTCAAAGGACAATTGGAGTCGATGCGCTGAAGCCACATTCATGTAAACGTAGCTTTAAAGAACGGTGTATACTGACTGGAAGTTCTGAAGTGCAATGAAAACTGTTGAAAAATAACAAAGGCGCCTTTCCGCCAGTGTGTCAATTTAAGCGTGTATGTGTATCAAGCGTGTTGCGTTTGTTTTCCAGTGCAATGCACACAGGTGCACTGGGCTGTAGAAAAATAATAATAAAAGACTTTCAGCCTTTCCACTCTGGTGAACAAGGAAGACCAGAGAAGTTGTACTATGGTGGGAATGAAGTAATGGCCGGCTGCAAGTTGGCAAGCAAGAGTGAAAAGACTAGAAAGGTTGCCGCCATCGACGAGCGACGGCAGCAACCAGACAACCGGTGAGCCAGTTGTCTGGTTACCGCCGTCGCTCATAGAATGCGGTAGCTGTGCGGAGTGTTGTGTTGACATTTATTTGCTGGCGGATACAATCGTAAAGAAACAGCTCCGCTGTTAAAAAACAAAAATACTGACCGGTCTAGCAATGTCCGAGCCTTGATTTGGTTGACAAACCACAAAACTTTGGGGACTTGCAGAGGTTGTCAATTCGCGACTCGTGGGCTGCTGTGCAACTTTCGCACTGCTAACACTCGCATGTATGATTGGCGTTTAAGTTGCGCAGGCGCACGAGGGCGCATAGCTCTGATTTTATGATCACAGCACAAGGCGCCCTGTAAGTATTCCCAAAACGATGCGTAGGCGTGCCATTACAGCGGATCAGCTGATAAACTGTTGGAAAGCATCAAGACAGGTTTACTGACCCAAGCGGCTTTCTCCTTAGGACGGTCGAACAGGAGGAAAGAGATTTTGAGGTCACGTGACCGGTTCCGTGGGTAGAAAGTACGTAGCGTTGTAGTATGCGGAATTTCGCATATGACCATATGCGAAATGTAGAGCGCCATCTTGTAGCGCGCCGGAAACTACGTCCGCCATCTTGGTAGCGGCGAATAAACGAAACCAGTGACCCGACCGGAAAGACCCCATGTAAACAAGCAAACGAACTTCTTGCGAGAGATGCGATGCCAACGTGTTGCTGCTATCCGCGGCAGATGCAGCGATAAACATTCGATTTGTGCGTGATGTGAACGTAAACGTGAACAGGGTTCACAATTTTTTCCTATTTTTATTTGTTACTTGAGACGCAGCGCTTGACAAAAATAATTGGTGACAACGCGAAGAAACATGTGGTCGTTATCGCGCGGCGTGAAGCCATTTACAACTATTGAACCAGCCCTAATCTTTTGACGAAGTTGCACCAAATTTGTTTCTGGGCTTTTTTTATTCTTTTATGCACGTTGTATAGTGTCGCTTTGCGTTTCTTGATGCGCAAGCAGCTCAATGTAGGCAGACGAGACCAAGGTTGTTAAGCGAGGGAAAAGATGACAGCTTTAATAATCTACGCCACCAACCATAATTGAAGATGCGTATGGTTAACAGGAAACAACAAATGCTGAAAGCACCACAGAACCATCATTTTAATGTCATATATTTAAAAAAAATGTATGACTTTGGAAAGCGAGAAAACAATCTCATTGCATTGCAGCAATTTCTATAACTTGATTTGGCGTCAGTAAACGAAGTTTGTAAAACACCTCTAGAACTAAACAGGAGAGTTTCTTGATAAAATATGCTTGAGTATATAAAGCGCGACCATCTAAAGTAAGAAGCAGAACAGACACGGGCGACATGTTTGTTTGCTCAACTCTCACAGAGACGGAATTTCGCAGTCATTTTTGTCGAACGCCACGTTGGATTACTTCGAACGCGGCGTTCGACTTGGGATCATCGCAGTGACTCAAACTTCGATGTCGGCGGCGGCGAAAACTTACGTTGCGGACATCGGGTGGGGCAACACGGGCAGTACCAACTTCATTTCACAATCTCATTTTCTTTTCTTTTTTTGTCGCAGCCGAAGTAAGATTTTTGATTAGTGCGAAGAAGCTTGAGGGGTAGTTTTGAGAACGTCAAAGCAGTTTTTCTACCAAAGTTGAACAAATCTTTATTAACAGCGCAACATCCGTCAACTCTGCTTGAGATCAATGATATCTGAAACCAATTTGAGTTATTTGCAACGCCTGGAAAATATTACCCAATGCGCAGTTTCCTTTAAAATAAAGCAAAACTTCCCAACGAAAAAAAAAATCGCCAATAACAATTAAAAAGAAAAAAAAAAAGAAAACTATCCTTGAGTTGCGTGTATTGGCGTGGAGCAGTCTACTGTTAAACAGTACGACTTCATGTGTATTCGCATTGAAACCATATTTAAAAGTGTGATCAGATAAGAAATGCATGACTGCCTAGTCCTTTGTACACGTTGAGTGATCGGAAGTTAGAAAAAAAAAAGTTTCCGAATCGCACTTGTGGCAGAGCGTCCATCCTCTGGAGATGCTGAGAAACCGAAACTCAATAAACTTGACGCTACCCAAATGGCTGCGTGCACAGTGCTGCAAGACCACCAAGCAGTTTTGAATATCGTCTACTCCACTTAGCCAGTCGTAAGCCTTGCCTTTAGTTATCTGTAATTCTCAATTAATACGACCCTCAAAAAACAACTTTACATGCCGCTCCTATAAAGTACACGAATGCGGTTAATTTAACTTACGATTCAGCCGTTCTTTTTGCTGTTTTTTTTTGTTTGCGAAGTCGAACAAACGTAATTGAAGCCAGGACTTAATTGCGGCAGCAAATTGCCTGCAACTTTAAGTGTCTTTAGATATTCATGTTCCAACGGAGACAATCACGTTACCTTAAAATCCCTCTTGTGGGTGAGTAGACCGTCGGAAGAGATAGCCTCAATGATCAGCAAACCGGCCTAGGTATATTATTCGGTGGAATAACCAATGAAGGGCTGTGAGTGCTCTTGTCGTGCTATACGAAGCGTGCTTGTGGACGTGTGGCTCTGGTCCACGGGTGCCGCTGCTTACCGTGAGGGAGACGCGCTCCTTGATGCGTTCTCCGCTCTCGAGCATGTATCCACAGTGGCGGCGGACTTCCTCTGCAGGATAGATTTGCAGGAATCCTGCAGAAAAATTGAGTAATTGGGAAGTGTGTCTGTTGGTGCCTGTGGGCAACTTTGGGACGCGTGCTTATTCAGTAAGCACAGCAGCCTTTGCCGAACGCCGACCAATAGTCGTGTCCAATTTGTACCCTGTGCTGTCCTGCGGTATAGGAGACGAAGAAAATCAAGCAGTTGTCTATACTTCGTTTCAGCTTAAGTACAGACGCAGCCGACGTTGTAGTTGATAGGACTGATCAAGCAGTGTCAAACGCGCAAGTCACTGGGCCTATTTTTTAATGATTCGACTAGCGGTGATAGACGTCACGTACAAAAACGCGATGAACATCATGATTGTTCCCTTTTGACGCTGTCTGCCTCGTCAGCTTGTATCGTCGGCTGCCTCTTGACTTATGGTAAAACCAAATAAATAGGAACGGTTGGTAAAGCAGCTCAAAACTCTAGTGTTGGCGTCACTCCTGATCGCGCACAATGGCTGAACTATTCGTATTTAGGGCAGGAATTCATGCTAGAATTTACCTCTAACGAAGTTTGTCTTAAGAACCACGTCAGCGAAGTAGCTTTGCTTTATAAATATTTTATAATTTAGCTTTCTTTTTCGTTTCGTCCATTACTGCTACTTCTGTAAATTAGCCCAAAACATTCCCAAACTCTTCTTTTTATGGCGTTTTTTGGGCTCTTCGCGTTGAAAAACAATTCGTTCGTCATACAAAAACGTATCAGTGACAAGTTATGACAGAGAAAAAAAAGACTGCATAATATATTGTTTATAAAATGTTCCGTAATTTATTTCTGAAGCAAAACGAACTGCGGGTACCCACTCGGCATGCACCTAGCGCAAAGCCAGCATTGCGTGCTGACCCCGCCAGCTATTTAGGAAAGTTTTCGTGCGACTCTCAAAGCACTTTGTGCGCCTTGTGTGGGCATCTCGCTGTCCCTAGGACAGCGTGTGATTACGAGGGACAGCCAGTTGCAACATGGCCAAGGAAGGGAGCGTTGTGAGCCTTCGATTGGCAATGATCTCGTACTTCTGTGCAAAGTATTGCGTGTGATGCCTTGAAAGACTTTTGGTGAGTGGCAAGACCTCACCAGGAATCTTCAGCTTCTAACAGGAAAAAACATTTACAGGCCTTGCGGCGCGAGTGGATTTGACTAGCTATTGTTTCAATTCGCCAGCGACGCCTGAACATGCTCACTGGCGCCATAGATTACGATGTTGTTTGCGAACAAACCACTCAATCCGGGGGTGCTCATAGATTTTGGATTCACTTATCTTCGTTGGTATAGTGAGGACCATAATGACTCCTTCTATTTTTCCTGCCCTTAACTGCCATGCATTTTGTTCATCAAGTGGCACAAGGAGAATAGCGCTTCGCGACACTCAACGCTATATTCTAAAGATCTCAGAGACCAGGTCGCAGATCGCGGACGCAAACTCTTTGAGTGTTGCGACCGAACGAAGCTGAAACGCAATCCTATAGAGCTCTTAATTTCTACGCAGGCGTACCAAAAGTAACTCTAATGAAACACGAAGAGCCAAACTAGACGCCAGGCGCTTAAATATGTCGTGGCATGAGGGTACCCCTTTAGGCGAGCAATACGACATAGAAAACTTGCGCTTTGTCATCATGATTAACGCAGCGTCGCCCATGGCTTGCTCCCGCATGAGTGCAAGCCATAGGCGTGGGTATGACTTCTCAACGGCGTGGGTATAACTTCCAGAAAGAGCGCGATGCAGGCGCGCGACAACACCAATTTTTATCCGTCTACCATTTTGTCCCCTTTTCTCTGCAAATTTGAAGGTATTTTTCTGCTGGGGTATGATGGAGGATAAAATAACGATGCCATGATGCGTAAAAGCCTGTTCTTCCGCGGTATTCAGTTGCAGCGGCCCAACCGTTTTTTTCTATTTCGTTTTTCCTAACGATGACCGCAGCGAACGCTGTCAGCCAACCCAGCGCTGTAAACCGTGTCACGTGACTAAGCTCCCCGCGCGTCGCTGCGCGTTCCTCTCGGAGGTCGCATGACCCTCACGCGGCATTGGGTTGGCTTTCATGGCTTGTAGCGTCCGCTGAAGAGTGTACGTCATTCCAACATTCGCCTTCTGGGCTCCGTCATCTTTCTCTACCGAAGGTCTTATAGTACGCAAAAGTAACGGCATCCTTTGAAGAATACCGCCTGCTATATGAATACGATCGAGGTGGTGCTACCATTGGCGTGCGAGTGCGAAAGAGCAAACAAACAAAGAGATAAATGGCGCACGGGGAAGGAGGAGGACGCATGTTTACGCTGTAAGAACGAACGCCAGAAGCCCACGCCGCCACACAAGTAACGCAAAGGAAACGTCACGGCTGTCATGCATTGTTTTTTGTTTGTTTCTACGTATTATTTGTCGCTCATTCGATTGAACATAGCAGGTAAGTACAGCATTACATTGCGCTTTTAGTGTGTGCGCATGTGTTTGCGTGTCTTTTAGACCGTGACTGCGCTCTGACTCAAGTTGAAACAAAGCCTGCTATCATCGAGCGGAGCAGGCGGCGCTACCGTTGACGCGCAAGTGCCAAAGAGCCAAACATAAAGATAAAAAAGTGTGCGCGCCAGGAGAGAAGGGAAAATACGTATACCGCCAATGTCACTACATTTTTTTATTTAGGGGCCCTACGCAATACCACCCAGAATGATCAAAGCCTGTTCACTGGAATTTTGACGTCATCACAGGGACATCGAGCGAAGACGCAGATCGGATACCAGTGCAGCGTCAGTGATCGGATGGACCTCGTATCCAATGAACGCACCGAAGGACGCTCGTCATCGGGCTCGGGTTCAATGGCTGAGTTGGCGGAATCCGAACTGTGATGACGTTCCATGGAGGTAGAGTGGGCGTTAGGATGCCTTCATTATTTGAGATGGCGTTGCCTTACTGCACATTGCTGTCCAGCACTCATCACCTAGTGGATAATTTTCACGCCACTCGGCTATGGACGCGTGCGTGACATCCGATACTCTACAGAGGTGCGCTACTATTCACGCGTCGTTCCACAGCCCGGTCTGTGAAGATGGCAGCACGCAGAAGTCGATCCTTAGAACTTTCTATATATAGTTGCTTGGGCTCACCTCTGATGTCGACGTTGCCGATAGGAATCAGAAAGACCGGGTTCCCATTGGGGCTGCACTCCAAAATGCCACCAGGGAAGAATCGCCGGACCAGCTGCGCAATGCAGAACGGCGGAGTCAACGAGATGAGCGTCGTGATGGCATGTCTGCTGGCTGCTGCGCACTGGTAGTACCCTCACCTCGGACTCTTGGTAGTCCTCCACGAGGCTGTCCATCTTGTGTTCGGACCTCCACTCGACGTTCTGTGGGAGCACGTGCAGCCCTTCCCCAGTAAGTTTTTTGCACTTCATCTGGCTATGGGAACCCTTCAGAAATCGAAAGTGTGTACAGAGAGCTGCATGCATGGCGGTTTGGCTGGTGCCCCATACGTGCAAGCACGTGTAGCGGGCGTGTGGGCGTAGGTTTGGCAAGCTGGCTTGCCAAAGCTACGCCCACACATATACGCGACTGCAAGCTACGCTTGCAGTCGCGTATATGTTTCAGGGGACAGCACCTCGAAAGCGCAACAGACGAGAGCGCCGACGGGAGAGCACGCGACACGAGAGGGCGCAACCAGAAGAGTACGCGTCACGATGAGCGCTAACGGCTGCGATGGGTGGTCGTAACATTGTAATAAATGTTTATTGCTGTTCGTAGCAGTGCAGGACAAAATTATAGGACACGTTGGAAAGATGGTCGAATCCGACCGTAGCCTCCATGAATAATTTCGGTATGAATTTATGTCGAGGACTATTTTGTAAGAGTTTATATATGAAGACAGATTATAACAGCAAGACAGGAAACAAGTCCTGCCAAAGTTGTAGATCTTTCTGAACGCGCTTCTTAGCATGCAAAAAAAAAAAAAGAGTTTGACAACCACGAGAAAGATGGAAGGGCTTCTGTACGTCCCATTGTGCCTTTCTTTTTTGAAGTTCAGTCATCTTTGAATGCAGCGTTTGGGTAATCTAGTTGAGTATTTGATTACGGTGAACTCCGAATATAAGTCGACATATGCGCTTAGGAAAACAGTGCGTGGAAGGTGTGCACAATAGAACCACCAAAAGTTAGGATTTTAATATTTTTGTAATATTCACCAATTTGACACTATACACTATGCGCGGTTTTCATCATGTATAACCTCTACCAACCCGCCTTGAAGCTAACTGAATAAAAGAGCACTGCGATTTTGTTTTCTTTTCTTCTCTTGCTTCTAAATACAGCATTCTGGTGTCACTGAGACGATATTACGGAATGAAGGAGCATCCTAAGAAGTAATTAAATTCCATTAAGCATTTGTACTCTACTCGACATATTCTGCAGGGAAAGTAACTTGAGTAGTACTTTACATACCTTTTAAGCTAGATATTTAGTGACTAAAGCGCTTTTGTTCAGTATCTTGTCCAACACTTCTTTAGGGTAGCTTTCATTTCTTGCTTTTAAATCGGCAAACATTAAAGTTTGAATTATAATATTACGATATGACTTGGTTTGTTCAAAGGCACAAGATATCACCACGCCCAGAATTTCTAAAAACAAAGTTAAAAGCAAGAGCTGTTTTACAGAAGAGTCAGAGCAATGGATGCCGCACATCCCGGCAAAGATGTTTTACAAAACAGTCAAAAGCAATAGATGCCACACATCACGGTCATCGGCGTCGCGTGCACGCACCAAGGACAAAATCGTTCGGAACTAGAGACAACTGGAAGATTTATTCCGAACCATTCCAAACGCAGCTGCTTATTTTTTTTTTTTTTTTCGGAGCGCGTGAAAGCGCGCTTTTTGGAACGAGCGCTTGGCATTGACGGTGCTACGACGGCATTCTGTTCTTGGCTATTTTTAATTTCCAGAGAGCCTGTGCTGTGTGATAGCCTCCTCTATATTCACAAAGCCTGGCAGTTTGACGACCGAGCTATAGAGTGCCCGGTTGCATATTTCGAGCGCGAGGATCTGGTTGCAGAGAGCATTTCTGGTATTCAGCGCACAGCTTTTGCAGCTGCGAGGACCGGAAACATGCTTTTCAAACCCGACGAGAAAAGAAGCGGTAGCGCGAGGAACGCGGGGAGCACGAGCGGATATTCCATCGCTCGGGAAAAGTGTGTTTCGGCGTCTCGCCGCAGCGGGGCGCCTGATACATGGCTCTCCTCTCATCCGTTGTCTGCCGCTCTACCTTTTCACTTTCGGCGGCCGCGCCTCGTGGCGATCTGTCACGCTTTGTCAGTATAGAGGAGGCTATGGCAGCGGGCATCGGGTGCTACGAAAATCTAAAGTATAGAGCGAGTTGATTACGGTGTGGCCTAGCTCGGTGGTAAAGTCTCCGCGTGACACGCGGCGGACTGAGGTTCAATAGACCTATTGCTACAGTGTACTAGAATACTTGGGTAGTGTTGGGACCGGAGCGGCTCGGCAACGGGAGCTTGTGAGGGCGCGTGTATTGACAGTTCGTGGCAGCGCTGTAGACGAGTTATCCGAAAAAAAATCGCGCAGCCCGCCTTTTTGTTTTCACTTTGAGCGGTGCACGTGTCGGTACCACGATTTTATACACTCCGTTTCACCTTATGTTGTACCGCAGGGAAGGCTAGAAGCGCGAGCTCATAGCGTTGGCAGCTGCCCTTGGTGCACGAGAGATGGTGCCGCCGAAATGTGCCCTAGAGCAGGGTGCTCGCGCTTGTAGCCTTCCCTGCGGTACATCGTAAGTTGAAACAGAGTATAGGGCAGATAAAAAAATTGGTATTTTCAAAAAAATTTTTTAAAGTTTTTGATGTAGGCAAAAGGTTAATGAACGGTTTAATGGGCCATGTTGCAATTGTAGCTTTAAAGGGAGCCATTATTAAAGTCCAACCCAATTTAGAAAGTTCGCAAACAAACAACGAGCTTTGAGCGAAAGCAACACGGCGCTCGTTTTTGTTGTGTTTGTCCGTCCCTCGTCGTTTTCTTCCTCAAGCTTAATTATCTCTACCAACCCGCTCGTTTTGTCCTGAGATATTCATCGCTAAAATTTTGCCTTTCTTCGCTTAATTAAAAAAACCGCGCGCTGAAAGCGCGAATGCGGTTGTGCTGATATTGATGCGTAGAAGAATGACACAGTTGTTTCCGTCCCCTCGTCACTAACTCGACAGCGTGTCTTCGGTGGACTCGCCGGCGCCACACATCAAGACGACTAAGTCACTATTCTACGTATTATTTTCATAACGCGGTTTTTGAATCCAGCGAAGAAAGGCAAACTTTTACGATAAATTTTGCGAACCTCGTTGCCTTTTCGCGAATTGTCGAAACTGTGTTTGCCTTTAATAATGACTTATTTTAGAACTGCAATTGCACCATGGCCATTTAAGCCGTTAATGAACAAGTTAACTAACAGAGTTTGCTTAATTATTAAACATTGCAAAAGGTTATTCACCCATTTATTGTCCACCGAGCCCTACAGATATAACGAAAGACGGCATCCACATATCTGCCATATCCTTTTTTTGTAAAATATCTAAATTTCTGTAAAGAGTAAAACAAAAACACCCTGTATGTCTGCGTGAACCAGATACGCCCCCTGTGGAACCATGGGTGTTTCCCTTCGAATACCGAGCTCAGGCGAGACTTACCTGGTTGTCAGAAAGCAGCTGTCGGTTAAATTTATTGTTATGAGCGTGTAGGTTTCAGATGGTTTACCCTCAAGAGGATAATGCGCTGCATATTGTAAACAGGTATGCGCTGCACATTGTAACCATTATTTCAATGCCGTGCTGTAAACTATTAAAACTTTTTCCTTGCCTGATCTACGTGTGCTCATGTTTTCTGCTCAAAATGATGTGAAATAGTAGCTTGTTTTTTTAATCTTATAAAGCATCACTTGTTCAGCCCACGTCGTTTCAGTTTTTGGACTTAAGTTCGATGTTAAAACGCGTGATAAAAATTGTCATGGCTTATATGCCATTTCTTACAAGTAAACGTCGGCTGGTCCTCGGGACTTTAGTCCTCGGATGATCGTGGCAGCCATGAAGAAATAAAAGATTCTCACTCCTTCGCGGCCGTCACTTGGGTGGTTCGTCGCATAAATGAACACAAGAATGGGTGACAAGTGAAGCGAGCTGATTAAGGTCAAGAAAAAGAAGACGGGCAGAAAAGAAGACAGAGAAATTAACCTGGGGTATTCAAAACGGGCGGCGGAGAAAAGCTCACCGGAGAACTCACCGGAGATAAGCTCACCGGAGAAAAGCTCACCGCTAAACAGGCAGATGCGGAGAAAAGCTAACCGGTTTTTGAGCGGATGCGGAGAAAAACTCACCAATTTTTTTTTTTTTTTTTTAACTTAGCGGATTTTGCGCTAAACGTGACAATTTAACAGAATTCGCATTCGTCACTTCTTTAAAAATATGTACTCTTTTTTGTAATATTCTTGAAGTTCTATGAGAATATTTACTAATTCCTCAGAAATCAGTAATCACCCATTCTGTATATCAATGAGCCGCAAGTATAAAATGAGAACATGGTACACCGGTAAAAAGTACATTTTATTGACAACTGACAGTGAGCCGTCGGTAGCTCTGTCAGATAAAGATGTTTGTTCTTTACGAGCTAATATGAATAGCGATGTGTGAACCGTTTCAGCTCCAAATATTGAGTAGTGCCTGATAAGTAAGTAGGTGTTCGTTGATATAATCAGTGTCGGCTAAGCTGTTTTCTTTCTGTTAATTTCACTAACAAAACTTTAGTTGCGAGAACAGCTTCGTCCGGTCGTGTTTGTTGTCTTCACTCCGTCGTGGTCATTTGCGCGGTTTTCATCATGTATAACCTCTACCAACGCGCCCTATACGCTACCTTACAGAAGACTACTTCATATATAGGTCACGAGTAACAACGGTGCCAGTGTGCAGCTCTGAAGGTCATGAGTGGTTCGCAGTGAAAGGGAACTATCACACAAAGGTAACGTGTGAAAACACCAGCACGAACGGCTAGGAAACGTGCATATCCGTGGAAGAAAGAAGCCTCAATATCCTATACTGACTGTTTTATCCTGTTTTCGAAGGTTAACAAAAGCTTCAAAGAGAATTTCAGGCAGAGAATTTCAGGCACCGCGTTGGTTGCGCATGCACTTTCGGATTTTCAGCATTAACAGTTTTGATTTTTAGGTTTTAGACAGACATCTTTAAGTTTTCAAGCTTTTTCTGGATCTTCAAGCTCATAAAGATTTCACTTAGGATTTCGTTGCCTGGAGAGTAAGCCACAGAAAACACTGGCCCGCAATTATTAATTTGGGAGCAATATATCCAAT